CATTGTCGAACTGGGAGAGATCCAGTGGTAAATCTGCCGTGTTGCTCTGGAAACCATGAAGATGAACTGTCAAGGATTCGGCTAGATCCGGTTGCATCTGTTGCGTTGGACGACGGGGTTGGTGTGCTGACTGAATAATTTGGTTCTGCTCCTCTGTCAGTTGTCGTAGTCTGTCGTCAAACACTTCTGGTGATACAGAACTAAATTGTTCCTGAGTTTCACCGACTATAACTGCAAGACTGGAAAGTGAGTGAATGTCTTCCAAGTTGAAGTGATCCGTACCGGAACTTCCAGCACGACGAGTGAGCTCTGCAATACGTCGACGGACGGAGGACAGTTGCCTATAGGGCCATTTGTGGATGTGGTTGCGTCTGCAGATGCGCTTGAGTGCCGCTTCACAGACCCCGAGCTGTTCTGCAGCCTGGACACAACTCAACGCTCGGATCGTCACTCTACTGTCTCTACAGCGCTAAAGTCGCTAGAAAAGACACAAGGCTACAACCGTCTTGAGTGGCAAATGATAGACAGTCTGCAGTTGCTCCACGTTGAAGTGGATCCGTTGCCTTCTTCTGCTACGTGTCGAGTCTTCAGCTTCCGAGTCGCTGTCGCTGCTTGAGATATGACTGGACGAAGCTTGAAGCTGCCGAGGAAGAGCTGAAGCAGGAGACGACGGGGAGCTCATGGCGCGGAGCTGCTGCTGTCCTGTGCGGAATAAGAAGAGTGAATGTCGTTGAAGTCGAGCCGGAGCGCCTGCAACTCGAACGGATCGATCTGTTATATTGAATATCACAGACGAAAACATTAACTCAAACTATTTTCTAGCGTTTTACTCTAGAGAAGGCGGGAGGTTTGTGCCCGCATTATTGCAATGCCTATCGAGCATGGCCCCTGCCATTTGGTGAAGTTGTCCGGTGTTGGCATGAAATACCCCTGTTGCTCATTCACTGTACAGTACAGGGAGTGAGCAGTACTATACGTTAGACGAGTCTGCTCATTGAGTTAGCCGTCTGCAAAGTTAGACTCGAGCCAGCCTGACCTACTTCTTTGCATTACCACTGTATCAACTGCGTATCAATGCTAAATCACGACATAAGAGTCTTATGTCGTGTCTTATGATAAGACATCGAACACTGTAGCTGGGTGATGCGTAGCCTTTGTAAGAGAAAAACGTACGCGTGCTTTGTGTCATGTTCCTGCATAGCTCCTGGGAATTTGTGTTTACTGTCGTTTTCATCTCTTTATTCTGGACATCATCATCAATAAATCTGGGAGCCAAACGTACATGTAGGGTACAATATTGTAGCCCTATCATACCATAACATGGTATTATATTATGAAAGCCTTCATAAACGCGCGGTGCTCAAAGTATGGTTCATAGAACTCAATTTTTGAATGCGTTTGCCATATCCTAAACTACGAGAACATGAATGCGTTTAAGGAATGTAGGGTTCCGTCGGAATGCTCATAACGACCTGAACTAGCCAGAGGATCGAAATAACTAGCACTTGGTAGAGTTTAGAGAATTCCACGACAATTTGGCCTTATTTCATCCCTTCCTTTGTAACCTTAACCTCATCAAAGTTGGTTTTGATCTACATCGGTACACCAAATATGGACTCTAAATTCGGTGGTACAGCCCCTTAACTTAAGGACGCCTCCCAAAACAATGTATAGATGACAGAACATACAAAACACACTTTGCAGTATTTTCACAGCAAATCGTTTGACTTGGATGAATTATACTTTGACCTTCCCATTGTCGCAACAATGCATAATAAAGGATTAGAGGTAGGGTGCAAACCTTCCTCCCTGTTAACTCTCGTTTGCACCGCCAATTTCGCTTCGCTCATGGCGGGCAAAGCCTCGGTAAAAAGATAATAAGTACTGGGGTGGGCAGTGCTTGCCTCGCTGAGGAGCTCGTCACTGGACTCGCCTCCGCAAATACACACACGGGGCCCTGCTTCGCGGGCACCCCGCGCGGGTTTGCTGCGGTAACGCTCCTCGCACCCGCTCGCCTCAGTTGGCGTCTCGGCTATGACTTACCACATCGCCCACCCTCTCGTGTGAAATTACTGCAGTGTGTGTTGCTAGTACAACTTGTTGTCTTATTATTTGGTAAAGATTACCGACTGATAAAGACTGCATGCACTGGCTACATGATGTAGTTTACATCGGACACGAACCTTTTCCCCGCATCCAGGTGGGTTCAAAGCCGATTTTACGGAGACGACCAGGGATTTGACCTGCTGTTTTCTAGTCTGCTCACAACAGATTATACTCTATATAGTAATATACTTATAATTATATAGAGGGATATGGGCCTAGAAAGTACTTTCTTAGGCGTAGAAGTGCATGATAGAACGTCCAATACCTTTAATAAACCACCTTCTATTAGCTATAGATACTCATGTGTTGTATCTGATATTTCCGGTTATTACCGCGGAGAGGTTTGATCGCCGTCAAATCTCTGGTCTTCTCTAAACGATAGAAATTCATGTTATCATCTGCTAACTTAGTTGTGCTAACGGTTTGCTTTGATACGTGTGCATGTAGAGTTAATGGAATGCATCTCTGACCACCACCGATCCTGGACGGAGTACAGTACTTCCGGAACGATATCGCGCTAAATGTACCTGGAAAGAAACACAAACATCTCTGCATGTTTGACGACACCTTCGTACTCTTCATATACGTATAATACATGTGTTCTTCGATGCTCTTGCAACGTCCAGTTTGTCGGTTCCCCGAACCATCGACAAATCCATGTCGATCGACCGTAAATAATCACGAAGCTTTACTATGTGCGTCAACTGTGATTGCAGGTCGAGTTGTCTTGACTGGATGTCTCGCGCTTGAGTGATTCATCGTTCAGTTTTGAATCATCCAGCAATGGCGAAGCTCTTGCGTCTTGTTCTCATATCTGCAGGTCTCGTTGCCTCCGCTCAGGCCGAAGTGCTGGCTTACGACAGTGTGATCCCCATCCCCGAAACCGAGGCCACCACCATCGAGTACTCGCTTGCTCTGAAGTTCAAACCTCAGCTCAACATCGAAAGTGGATGTCGCTCGTACCCCGCCGTCGATGAGTCAGGCAATACCAACAAGGGTCTCTCTGTCCTCAGTTTCAGGAAGTGTGATGGACCCTCACTCGGTTCCCAAATTTACGGTCGCGCAACTACCTATGAAGATTATTATGCAATAATGTACGCGTGGTACTTCCCCCGAGACCGCAAGGGTATTATCGGTCATCGTCATGGCTGGGAGCACGTCATTATATGGTTGAAGCGAATTGGCGCTGACAAGGCGAAACTTGAGGCCGCATCATCTTCGATCAAGGATGGCAAATATTTCACGGTCGTACCTCCAACAGCTAAAATGGTGGACGGGACTAGCGTCAAGTTCCAGTATAAAGCACAGGCTTTGAGTCACTACGTGAACGTTACGACAGTGGCCGGTGATTTACAGGATTTGGTCGTTTGGGAGGACATGCCTGAGGCTGCTCGCGCTGCGTTGAATCTCAATGACTTTGGAAAAGCTACGGTGCCATTCAAAACAGAAACCTTTCTTGATAACATCAAGGATGCTTATCCGTGGTCTGATTAACTACAGCTTAATTAAGCTTTTCATTCCAGTATGTGGTTAGAATTGCATAATGTTTGCTAGCAGAATCCTGTCCTTTAACTGCCTAGAATTTTACTACTGTATAACAGAAAATGGCTGAGTATGATTTCAGGACCCCCTGTTTCGCGATCACTACGGTATCCCTGCTGTACTATAGTAGTAGAATCGACCGCAGTATTAAGTACTGTACCATTGTCTATTAAGTCCATGAGAAAAAAGTTTGTTTCTATGTATTCACCTACCTCAGAATTACACCAAGCATTTTCACCATCCATAATTGAGAACAGTGCAAAGTCAAAGTATTATATATCCACAATCGAAAATATCCAAAAACTCGAAACAGTTCACAAAAATCGTCGGTCTGGGTCAGAATCAGTTTGGACATCCAGGATCAACGGGTGAACTCAACTAAATCTGAGGATGGTCGTCACCTGCCTGTATCACCCAAAAGCGTTCTCGGGTTCTGGTGCTCTGGTTGAACTCGTATAACAAGGCCCCACTGTTGAGTTGCGACAGCGATATCCATTCGGGATCGGCATACCCCTTCCACTTGACGAGGTACTCGCGAGTCCTTCTGGATGTACGGGTACGTTTAGTCCACCGGAGATCCAGGATTCGTTCTACCTCATACTCATCATTCTGGTTGTTTATTTCCCAACTATCTTCAGGCAACAACTCAGCATAAAGGTCGTCACTCTCCTCCAGGGTAACTTAGTCGATGGGTCCCCTCGGGAACAACGCCCGAGGTTTCAGACGACTTACGTTAACCCATGGGTTCACGCGGTATCCAGTTCCGTCGATCTTCAACTTTACCCTGACATAATTGTGGACTTCGTCAAACCTGAACGGACCATGCCATAAGTGTGCCAGCTTACGACTCAATCCTGGTTGTACCTTGGGTATATACAGCCAGACTGCGTTGCCCCTTTCGAATCCAGACTTCAAACGCTCTGAGAGCTCTCTCCACTTTTGAATCTGAGCTTCCGATCTCATGCGTTTCACTTCCCTCAGGAGGTCTTTAGCACAAGCCCCATATCTATAGTCGCGCTAGACCTTTCGCCTCCATTCATACCCAGTCCGTTCTGGAAGGCTGGACGGCTTAGGTCCCAACATGGAGGATACAGTGCCCTGAGTGTCCCACCCGTGGACCAGATAGAATGGCGCGTCCAGGCGAGTTGTATCAAAATATGTGTTAAGGGCAAACACCAATCGCTCAGCGTGGTCATCCCAATCGGACTGATCTGCCTCAGTGAGATACACCCGCACACTCCGAGTGACAGTCTAGACTGAGCGTTATTGTTGTCCATTGGCCTGGGATCGGTTGCTCAGAGTGAATCTTTGACGACTATCTAGAAGTTCCCTGAATTGAGTGAAGACCTCACTCATGAACCTCGGATCTTGATCGGGTGGGTTAATTCTGAAGCGCCAAACATCCTGAACACCCGCACCTCATACGATTCTGCTACGTCCTGAGCTATGGTGGAGGACATCGGTGTGCACATCACGAATCCTGAGAACATGTCCTAGAACAACAAGAAAAAAGTACTTCATCGCTTGACTTCGGCATGTGCGTCACGGAATCCATCGATACTACTTCAAATGGCCACCTTGGTTCGATGTTTCCAGGAGATGGGCCAGGGTTAGACGGATGCCCGTTACCACTCGCGTAGTCAACGCACTCCTTGACATGACGTTCCACGTCTGCGTACATCCCGGGCCTCTAGAATTCAGAGCACAGCTTTTCTTGAGTTCGTTTCACGCCCTTGTGACCGCCCTGAAAATCATCATGAGCATAGTGCAGGAAGTCTTCTCTCACGGTAGTTGGTACTACCAGGCGCAATTCATCCTGTGCATCTCGAGGTCTGCCGCGGGTGGACTGAGCTAACCGATACAGCACACTACGGGTATCCAGGGTAAACAAGTCTGCGACCTTCGTGATCTTTCTCAACTGGCGAAGCGTGAACCGGATCAACTTCTCCGTTCAGGAAATCTCTTAGATCGCACAGATATTCGTCTTGTTCTTGGTGCACCTTGTTCCGCCACCATCGCTCGCGTTGATGCCCTAGAGGATCGAGGGGTTCCGATGAAACCGGCCTGCCTCGGACGCTAGCTCGTGTCACGGCAACAAAGATTTGGCTGCATAAGCCAACTGAGCCGCCATGGCATCCAGGGTGGAGAAACATCCAGGAACATCTAAACAGTTCTCTTCATCCCAGATGTCTACCAGCCCTGAATGACTAGCGACTGGAAAAGTCTCTGTTGTTCTCTCATCAACTTCTCTTGAATCTTGGCTACTTGTTCCAGATGTTGACGTTCTCCGTCTTCTTGGATACTCCAGGATTTTCCGAGCAACAGTGTCTTGCAAGTCGGATAGTCCGCCGCCTGGTTGGATTCTCGCTTGACGTGTACTAATCTCACCGAATCGAACTTCGTTTTCAGCGCTTCACAACTGGCCAATCGGCTCTGCAAATTGGACTGATTGCAATTGATCAGTCCTTATACTTGCTGGATGACAATTCGTGAATCACCAACTGCGACCAGGCCTCGAACGCCCCTGACCCGCGCCACGGTTAGACAATTCAAGAGCCCACAGTATTCGGCGTCATTCACAATCACGTCCTCCAGGATAAAGCCCTGTTCATCCAGGATTTTCCATCCAGGGAGTTCCCACAGAATGCATCCACAGCTACCCTGCCGAGTGGACGTCTCGACGGCACCATCAAAACTCAACACGATGCCCTTAAAGGTGTCTTCCAACATTTCAACGCTAATTACCGGGGGCAGTTTCGTGCGCCCCTTGGCGGGGATGAGTTCCTCGGCGACCTCATCCAAATGTTCTCGAGGCGTAATGTCAGCACCCAGGATGACAGCTAACCCGTCCTCGTCTCGTTGGTTTTTCCTGATGTTCAGATTCCAGTGCGAAAGCAAAACGCCCCAGGGCACACACCTCACACCCACAGTCTTGGATTTCATGGTCCACTTCCATACCGAGTGTCTGGTATACACGACGAGGGGTCAGCCCTGAATGAGCGTTTTGAAAACCTGCAATACTCTCAACACGGTGATGACCTCCTTTTCCGCGATGTAATATCTTAATTCTGCATCGTGGAGAACACACCCGTGAATCGTACTGGCTGAACCAAACCATCATGTTCATGACTCAGGACTACACAAGCAGCCCATTGGTTTGGATGAGGTATGATGACGAACGGCTTGGTCCTGTCAGGATGCCGCAATACTGGGGTCGACACGATCTTGTGCTTCAGGATTTTAAAAGCTTGTGTTGCCCTGGACAAATCTTGCCCTCAACGTACTTGGTCGTCCGAGAGTTCATACAGGGAGGCTGCGATCACGGGGTAGTCTTCGATGAATTTGTGATAATAATTCTGACTGTCCAGGAAGGACTGTACCCCCTTCATTGCCGTAAGGAATGGCAAATCCTGAACACCCTTAGCGATCTTCGGTGTTGCCCTGATTCCTTCAGCGCTAACATCATGAGACAAATACGGAATGGACAATTTCCCGAACTCGCTCTTCGGTAAACTTACAGAGATATTCCAGTATTACAGCCTATACAACAAGGCGTCCAAATCAGCACACAATGCATCCCAAGTCGGTGCACCATGTGCGATATCATCAATATACGAGCTGCGTCCTCGGACAGGTGACATCTGCGTCGGAGTAGGGATGTTCCTCTTTAACACCGTCATTTGGTTTGCCAGGGTTGGCAACGACCTAGGAGCATGGGCGTTCTCGCAACCACTACAACCTGGAGTGCCACACCCTGGAGGTCTGTCATCCTGGGGGTCCAAATTCAGGTAGTCCAAAACTTCCTGGTCTACCTCGGCCTCCTCTTCTGGCGGCAGACGCACGAATCCCCACAGGCAATTGTCGATCACTTGCTGATACATCAGTGGTGCATTTTTCAGGCCAAACGGCATTCGAATTCATTGGAAGTGTCCGAACGGACATACGAAAGCCAAAATCAACTTGACCTTTCAGTCATCCCGATTACCCAGAACCTGCTGGCCATATCCAGGCCCATGAACCAGACTGCTTTCTCGAAACCGACTAACAAGTCTTCGATGAGAAGTTGCGGGTAACTGGACTACTGGATGAAATTATTCACAAGTCGATAGCCAATACACATCCTGATGCCCACCCCATTCTTCTTGAGTACGATCACGATCGGAGATGCCCATTGCAATTTGGAATGTTCAATCTGATTGTTCTCGAGCAATTTCTTGAGCGGTTCATGCACCTTGACTGCTACGTGCGGACCAATCAACCTTGGGCGTAACGCGATGGGTTTGGCATCTCCCACATCGAGGTCACATACTACCCCTCTGACGGGAGCCGGCGCGGCCTTTCCGTCTCCCAGGAAAATCTTCCGATGGAGCTCATACTGGACTCATCTTCGGGGGAGGTACTCCCACATCGGCCTGATCGATGTCACATTCTGGATGCAATTCACTCAATTCTTTCAACTTGAGCAACTGGTCTCGCAATTGTGCCAGCATCTCGCTTCCTTCATGAATATACACGCCTGGTTCCAAATCCAACTCTTCAGCACTATCTATCATACAGCGTTCGTACTCCACCTCCCGCTTCTCGAGTGGTGTACATGGTGCCGTTTCTGGATGAAATCCTGAATCGTCAGGTCCAGGATACACTTCCGAGGGCTCCTCGAGTTCGATAGGCAATTCTGGAGGCATTTCAAAAAGGGCATCATTGTGTCGAAGCGGGATCTGCGAAAATCTTGTTGATGCAGGTCTCGATACCACTGTCGCCAGGACACCGACTAACGAAGGGGGTCCTCCGATGATCCGTGATCTGGTTTTGTTGCTGTTCTCACCTTGTGTACCCGGCGGCGGGCGGGTTACGCTCTCCGGGGTGACTTGAGCGACGTCTTTCTGGTGAAATAGGAACGCAGGGTCTTGAGATAGCGTCGTACTTCTTCACGCTACCTCGGGTCGGTTGATCTTGATGTGTCCTTGAGCCGCGATCTAGGCGCCTGGTTGTCGGTCCAGGTCTTACGGGGGTCCAATGTCGGAGATCTATCTCCTTTCTTTGCATATGCTTGCTGCTTCCTGTAGCGGGGAACTTGTTGGGTTGAGATCCGACGAGATCTTCAGGCCAAACAACCAATGCCTTCCGATCAGTAGTACATACTTGAGGACTAGTGACTAGGTAGGGGAAAACTAGCCAATATATTATTCAGGCTTAACCGCTACGCTAGATCCCAAGTCCTTACCTTCTACGCACTTGTGAAACCAATCTAAACCCCGATTCCAGGCGTGGTCAGGCACTTTTGTGGCTTAGAGCCAATTCGAGTCTGTTTACGTTTATCCCTAGGTTCACTAGCCCCATCATCAGCTGCTATCCTACGATCACCTGGCATCTGTATACCTACTGATCCTGAGATCAGCCGCGGCGATCCCGATCGACACTCTCGATCGCGATCCCGACCTGCCTTCTCGATCGCAACCTTGAACCACTACCTTAATCGTGATCTTGAACCGCCTTCTCGATCGTGACATCGGACTGCTTCCCCGGCCGTTGACGTGCCTTGATGCTGGACTACACACTCTCCCGCGATCCTCGGTCGCCACCATACCCGGATCACCGTTCACCATTCACCTACGACCCACCGTCGCTGCCGTACGACGATTCTGGACGACTTCTCTTCCGCGATCCCCGACCACTATCCTGCCTTGATCCTGGGTCGCCGTTCACCCGTCAATTCTACTCGCTGCATTGCCTTGGTCCAGGATCGCCATTCACCGGCAATCCTTGTTCATCATCATACCATGATCCTTGATGTCTCGGACCGAGGCACGCCGTAGGCTCATCGTCATCCTCCAAGGGTCAATCTTAGGTCATCCGAAGACAACTTCAGCCACCGGCGTTGTCACACGCCGAATCTTGGGCAGGTGACCCGATGTACCGGCCTGAATGGGATTCTTGTTGCCTGGTCCGTGTCTACCTCGCGATCTGGTAGCCGAGGTTGCCTTTCTCGTGAGATCTTATTCGCATTTCACCTCAACGCCCTGCCTACGGGAACGACCCATATTGTACAATCCTGGTGAGTGGTGTCTTCATAGCGATCCAGACACTATGCTTTGACACATTCACAACCTTGATCGCCACCGTCCAGTATCTAGCCTGATAGACACTCTTGGTTACCCACCTGTCACCTTGTCCAGCCCAGACGACTTCTCGCTCTGGATTCGTATGTTCATACTGGATTCGCACGACTGTGTGTTCTCCGGGCATGATATACAAATCCTCTTGAGAAATAACTGGCAAGTCCACACCCTGGGGTACCTTGACATCCTCATCATACATCAAGATGGACTCTTCATCCGGGAGTTGCACTAACCCTTCTCGAACGCAAACTCGTACACCCGCGCGGAACATGAAATCCATACCCAGTAGTACATCCAACCCTTCACCAATGTTGACCACCCACAATTCCATAATAAAACCACCCTGGATCCCAGAGTTATCTAGACTTCTGCACTCGCCATGATCTGGTAGGAATACCTCCTAATCCGGACACCTTGACTTGATTTTGTCGATTGAGCTTGAGCTTGAGTTTACGCGCTAAATCCAAGCTGATCACGCTCAACGACACCCCGGTGTCCAGAAGTATTCGAGTCCTTGCGTCATTCACGGCACCAAGAAGCGTAGCAATCCTAAGTTTTTCCTTCCCTGGCTGGTGTGTAGTCCACCATCCATAGCGTTCTCAATCCCGGAGTCAGAATTCCACAAGGAATTTCTGGGTAAGTACCATCTGAATGAGGTAATCCAGAAGGGCCTAATCCTGAACTCATGGGGTCCTGAAACATAGAAGCCATGCATTGTTGGTTATCTTGGTTCTTGGTTCTCAACTCAGGGCCGACATATACTAAGGCGCACAATCCTGGGGTCTTACTATGGCCGCGACGTACTGGATATCTATCCAGTGGGCTTAGTGTTTTAACGACTCGTCACCAGGATCCGCCTTGATAGCCAGGAGTCGATTTAGCATTGGAGGGGGTAGGTCTTTCACGAGGCCCTGGCCGGCTAGTCGTACAATAGACTCTAGCAGGTCCCAATCTTCACAGCGGCCGTCATGGATCTTGCCACACTTCTTGCACGGCAAGGTCTTGGACAGCTGAGCCGGATGTTCAGTGTGATGACAGTTTTCGCAGATCAGGTCGGCCAAGCAGTTCTCGGCGCGATGTCCGATTCCATTGCAGTTATCACAACGCATATCCCGGTCAGTGTTGTCATACCTCGGCGAAGGTGATCCTGGGTGGCCGTTACACTAGCAGTCTTTACCCTGGTGTGCCATATGCCCAGGTTTGTTCCATCCGGAATTCTCCATGACCTTGAGCACATGCTGTGTCAATTCTTCCATAGTCATGCCGGGGCCTTGGTTTTCAGGAGGTGCCTCGCGGGACTCGACGCTTTCATGGGCCGGGGAGTCGTCGAGAGGTTCATCCTCGAACATCATATGCCGTTCGTCAGAGTCAGACTCGTCGCCATTTCGAGTGACATACGCTCGTCCTGGGTATTTGGTCTTGAGTCGCCCCTGACGGAGGTTGTCCGCCCTGAAGTCTCGCGCTTTGGTGGACGAGACGCTTTGACGGTCATCGTCCCAGTCGTTCTCCTGCTGCTTCAGCACATACTCCAGATCGTACATACTCTTGAATCGCTGACTTTTCAGGATACGCTTCACTTGCGAATCTGTCAACCGATGTGTAAACCTCTTGGCATGTTGTTCACGACGTCGCTCCGACTTCTTGTAGCGAATGTCCGCACGGTCGGCCGCAGCATTCAGACGATACAGGAAATCCAGGGGGATCTCGCTTTGCGTTGATTCATGCTGTAATACTTTTCTGAGTCGGATATCTTAGACTTGCAGTACTTCATCTTGAACTCCTTGGAGAACCTTGTCCAGTCACGAAGCACATGCGGAGACAATTGCGAGCGCCAGTTCCTTTCCGAAGAAGACATCTTCAGGGGGAGCCCATAAACTTTCATCTTGTCGCTCCATCCGCCCTGGAAAGCCAATGTCTGAAAACATTCCCGCCAACGAGTGCTTTCTGAGAAAGGAGTCTTCTCATCGAAATCATCCAAAGAGCTAGCAGTCACAAATGGGCGGATAATCATCATTGTGGTACCGCCCTGGGTGGGTTTGGGGGCCACCATGTTGCTGAGCGGCTCGCAGAAGGAGTTATTCGGGTCGTCAGAACTCGAATCACTGTCGTCTTTTCCTGAGCTCGGGTCCGAGTCGGACGGGTATCCGCCACGACGGGCCATTCTGGACGCACCCACATTGGGGCTAGCGTTCTTGGCTCTCACCTTGGCGTCATCCGATGACTTAGTCACGGTGGCCTTCGTCACCTTGGTTCCCACCTCGGTTTTCGACGCTGTGGGTACGGTAGTTGCAGTTCTCGGCCTCTGCTTCGCCATGTTCACACTCTGGAGGGTGGCCGGGAGTTGTGCAGTCAGGAGATCGTCCGCTCTGACGATCTCGGACTCCATGCCGCTATACTTCTCCTTCTTGGTGCCGACATTGTCCGCATCGCGTCTCCTTCCGTCTTGCTGGAAGTTCGCAATTCCCGATTCGGTTTTGATCTGAGATCAAATCTGGGACAGGGGTCACTGTCGCATGTTGAACCTGGGCGGAGGTTGCGCGAAGGTCGCACAACTGATTGGCTTGAAATTTCTGAATTCTCTTCGCCGCTTTCCTTTTCGATCACGTTCAGCTTACATCTCACGCATTTGTTGCTGGGGGATCGGTATCTGCATGTTCGTGTTTTTCTGGCCGTCATCCACCCAGCGCGCTCGTTTTGCTTCATCCTGCATTCGTTGGACCATTAGTCGCTCAGCGAATCCAGCCTCGGTCTGAAACTACTGTGCCTTGAATCGTTCTTCAGTCTCCTTCGCCGCGCGAAATCGTTCGGCCTGGTCGGCAGCCTCAGTGCGAGCAACTAGAATCGTTTCATCAGCTTGGCGCTTCTTGGCGAGCTCTGACTGGATGCAAGCCAAGGCTTCTTGAGTCTGACGCATCGTGTTCAGTGCGACCTGGAATGCCCCACACATAGAAGATCAACGCGACCGGCTAGATCGCTCTGAATGCGTATGGCGGCTCGACGTCTTCTTGGATGACCGATGGCTCCTGGTATCTTTGTGTCGTTGGTGACTGTCTTCGGCGTCAGAACCACTGGATGACCCTTGTCTTTACGGCGTTGGGATCGGCGCGCCCTGGAATGTTTCGACCTGCGTTCGCTCTGAATTCCGACCTCACCCGACTCCGACATAACGACATCGTCGTGGACATTACTGGCGGCGGAGGGAGGACAGCTTGGACATCTTGCATACCCATCTGAGTTTTTTCCTGGATGGCTCCACTCTGGGCGGTCATGACCATGTGAGCATACACTCTGAACGGCATATGTCCGGCTACTGGTTGCCCGAGGGATCACACGGATGAGACGATGATTCATCCTGGCACGACGTCGATCCTGAGGCACCACTGCGTGTCGACTTGATAGACCCTCTTGATGTGCCGAACAGACTGGGACAAAGTCCGATCCTGTTCTCGATGACACATTCTGAACGGAGGACATGGTGTGACCACGCTCTGGCTGTTCGTATCCGATGAATTGTACTACGGCAGCGAACTCAGCGAGGGTGTAGATAAAGCCACCAGACGACGACA